CCCCTAAAACACCGGGAATGTCGCTCCCTGTGGATCCCAAGAACCCACACGGAGGGTTCTGCTGCCCCAAACACCGGGAATGTCGCTCCCTGTGGATCCCAAGAACCCCAAAGGAGGGTTTGGCTGCCCCAAATCCAGGAATGTCGCTCCCTGTGGATCCCAAGAACCCCAAAGGAGGGTTCTGCCTCCCCTAAAACACCGGGAATGTCGCTCCCTGTGGATCCCGCGGCCGCTCCGGCGCCGGAGGGGTTAAACCCCCCCGTTCCCCCCCTTTTCCAGGAGGATATTGCTGGCAGGGATGGCCCGGAGCCATCCCGGGATAATCTGATGAAGCCCTTTATTACATTTCCCAACCCCGGCTCCTTTATTAAAATCTCCCAGAATTCCGGAGGCTCCCGTCGCTCCCAGCCCTCGGAAAAACCAGGGAATTGTCCTTCCCGAACCCCCTCCCTCTCCCTTCCTCAGCTTTGGATCCCGATGTCATCGGGGAGGGACCCGGATATTTTTGGGAAGGGGGAGAAAGTGGAAAAAAATGGGGGAAAAACGGGGATTCCCACCCGGAAATGTCCCCGTGCTCATCCCAGAGCTTCTCCCTGATCCCGGGAGGGAGGAGATGGGGCCCAGAAATGAGTTTTCCCCGTCTCAGGTGTTTTATTTCCCTGGAAAAGCAGCCTGGAATTGTGCAGCCCTTCCCAAATCCCACCATTCCCAGGGAAAGTGGTCCTAAAAATGAGTTTTTCCTGTCCCAGGTTTTTTATTTTCCCGGGAAAGCAGCTTGGAATTGTGCAGCCCTTCCCAAATCCCAGCACCTCCGGGGAAAGTGGGGAGGGAAAACTGATCCCAGAAATGGGTTTTCCCATCTCAGGAAGTTTGGGAATCACCTGCTGGACCTGACAAAGCCGAGCTCGGATAAACCCGGGCTCCGGTTTGGGGCTGATCCAACACCTTTGAAGTATTTCAAGGAATATTTTCCCCAGGGAATGTGGGAATCCTGCCCCGAGCCGGCCGTGGGACACGTGGAGCTCCCGGGAGCAGGTGCAGCAACTCCTTCCCTGTATCCCGGGAAAAATTCCCGCTGGAACCCAGAAGCTCTTGTGGCCTCCC